TTTTTTAAAAATATATTTAAGACTTTAGGTAATTTTACAAGGCCAAAGCCTTATTTGCACCCTCCATTTAATTTTTTTTTCCTAGTCAACACCTTTCAAAAATTTTCTTTCTTATTCACATTCTCAATTTTTCAAAACTTGTAAAAAACTCAATATTTTAACGTGCCGTTACGGAACCGTTAATAACCGTTAAAAATTGTAATACGTGACATCAAACAGTAACATAATCATTATGTTATCTTATTAATCCAATGTGAACTTTTTTTTTATGATGTGGCATAATTAAATCATAATTAATTTTAATTTCTTCATTTTCTTCTTTTCTGACATCATCTTTATTATCTTTCTCTTCATCCTCCTGGGTTCCTCATGGAACTAGGAACCCAGGACGTTATGTCACATTTATTAATCCAATGTGGACTTCTTTTTTTTTTATAATGCGTTATAATTAAATCATAATTAATTTTAATTTTTTCATTTTCTTCTTTCCTAGCATCATCTTCACCATCCTCGTCCTCATCCTCCTGGGTTCCTCGCCGAACCTAGGTTCTGAGTTCCTCGTAGAACCAATTTCACATGAATGCCTACTAAGCTAAGATCTTCATCCACACAATTATAAGTAAATGAATACTGCACAAAAACATGATATGCATATTCTGCCCTTTTCCCACAAAAAACGAAAAAACCGTTATTGTCATTCATGTTAATCCAACTTGAACTCAAATTGGTAACCTGTTCAGAAACAATCTCCAAGCAAAAAAACTCACCTTTCCAATAAAAAAATTATTCCAAATTGCTTTGCATAAAATAAGAAACTAAGATTAATACATTCAAAAATTTTTTTAAAAAAAAAGGTCGAAAAACCCAGATCTGGGTTCCTGCGTGGAATTGGCCGAGAACCTAGTTCTGGGTTCCCCGCCAGAACCCAAAATTGGGTTCCCGGCCAATTCCGCACAGGAACCCAAATTACTTATAATTAATTTTAATTTCTTCATTTTCTTCTTTCCTAGCATCATCTTCACCATCCTCGTCCTCATCCTCCTGGGTTCCTCGCGGAACCTGGGTTCTGAGTTCCTCGTGGAACCAATTTCACATGAATGCCTACTAAGCTAAGATCTTCATCCACACAATTATAAATAAATGAATACTACACAAAAACATGATATGCATCTTCTGCCCCTTTCCCACAAAAAACGAAAAAACCATTATTGCCATTCATGTTAATCCCACTTGAACTCAAATTGGCAACCTATTTAGAAACAATCTCCAAGCAAAAAAACTCAACTTTCCAATAAAAAAATTATTCCAAATTGCTTTGCATAAAATAGGAAACTAAGATAAATACATTCAAAATAATAAAAAAAAAGGTCGAAAAACCCAAATATGGGTTCCTGTGCGGAATTGGCTGGGAACTGGGTTCCCCACGAGGAACCCATTGAGAAGAGGATGGTGAAGAAGATGCCGAGGATGATCGGGAAAGAAAAAGATGAAGAAATGCCGCATCATCAAAAAAAAAAAAAAGTCCAGGTGACATATTTATGTTACTGTTTGGTATCACACATAATATAATTTTTTGTTGGTTTCACTATACACGTGGCGTCCACGTGTGCAAAAAATAAGTCACATCATCAACAAAAGGGATTCACATTGGATTACTAACGTCACATAATGTTACGTCAATTTTTGGGTGCCACGTAATGTAATTTTTAACAGTTCCATGATGGCACTTTAAAATATTAAGTTTTTTATGGGTTTTGAAAAGTTGAAGGTGTAAATAGAGAGGAAAAATTTTGGAAGGTGTTAACCGTGAAAAAAAATTAAATGAAAGGTGCCAATAAGAGCTTTGGCCATTTTACAAATATTCCTTCGCTTTTTATTAGGACATGAAAAACACGTTGCTCTCAACCTTATTGAAATTTTAAAGGTTAAATCCCAATTTTGGTCCCTCAACTTAAAGTTTTACATAATTTTTATCTCTACATTTTTTTTACACTTTTTTAATCCTTTAATTATAAAAAATACATTTTTTTAATCATTTTGTCAGTTAATCTGTTAAATTTATCTAAATTTATACATTTTAAGTCCCTCAATTTTTAATATATGCACATTTTTCATCTCTCAACTTTAAGTTAAGATGAAAAATGCATGAAAAATATGTAAATTTAGATAAATTTAACAGATTAAATAACAAAATATTAAAAAAAATATTTTTCATAATTAAGAGATCAAAAAAGTGTAAAAGAAAATATTGATGAATGAAAATTATGTAAAATTTTAAAATTGAAGACCAAAATTAATATTTAATTAATTTTAAAATATTTGTTAATATAATAAATTACACAATTTAAATTATTAAATAAAAAAAATTTCCTTCCCTTCTCGTATGTATTTTTTTGCAACTCAAACTCCGGCGAATAAATGATAAAATATTGATGCAAAAACCTCTATGTTTCACTAATTACACGATATAAGTAGAAAGAGTTAAATTTGTTTTATTTAAGATTTAAGTTTGAATTTTATAATTTAAAAAATATATATTAAAATTACAAGAGTTCTTTTGTTAATTATTCAAATGTAATTCCATTTTGAATTAATTATCGAATAATCCGGAAGTTAATTAAAAAAAAAAAACCTCCAAGTCTCCTGTCTGCTTTACAGAGTTGACTACAGGTGCATACACCCATTATCGATTTCCTCCCTGTGAATTCCCCAGCTACCCCGTCCAAGATTTTGGTTTTCACCTCTAATTTGGGGTTTTTTTTTTCTTTCTGTATGTTCTTTCTGGGGTTAATTTGTATTTGATTTCCAGATTATGCCGTCTTTTACAACAGATAAGATGATTGGAACCCAGACGGCGTCGGAATCCAACAACGATGTAGTCTCGATCAACGTTGGTGGCCAAATCTTTCAAACAACCAAGCAAACCCTAATAATGGCTGGCCCTGATTCGCTCCTTTCCCAGCTCGCGGAATCAACTTGCCCATTCGTCGACAGAGACCCCGAGTTCTTCTCTCTTCTCCTCTCCTTCCTCCGCACTGGCACCCTTCCTTCCAAAGTTAAAGACTTTGACATTTACGACCTCATTGAAGAATCCAGATTTTATGGGGTCGAGTCCCTGTTGATTGAGTCCATAACGAACCCATCTCAGTTTGATGGTTTTGCACTCCAAAAGTCGCTTGTATTACCCCTCAATGGCCGGGATTCTCCCTCTGCAATTGCAACGACATCGTCGGGGAGCGTGCACGTGGCTCACGGTAGCAAAATCACGTCCTTTGATTGGTCTCTGCGGAGAAAATGGACGATCTTGACCCAATTCACAGCAATTGATTCTTTGCTTGCGATCTCTCCCAAACTTGCAGCAGCAGGAGCCACGGATTTTTCAGGGCTACAGATCCTTGATCTCGAAAATGGGAATGTCAAAGAAGTCTTGAATTGGGAAAATGTGACCAAGTCTAGTTCTACAGTTCAAGCCATTGGAGCATCGAGCGAGTTCTTATTTACAAGCTTCGAGTCAGGTAGGAGAAACTCGAATTCAATAATGGTTTATGATATAAATACTTTGAAACCTGTCACTGAGATTGGACATTATGAGATTTATGGCGCTGATATTGATTCTGCAATCCCTGCCACAAAGCTGAGCTGGGTTTCAAATCATAGATTGGTTATGGCTGCCGGTTCGCATAGTGGATTATCTGGTGTAATGGGTAATATTAAGTTTTGGGATATACGTTCTGGGAATGTGGTTTTTGAGTTGAAGGAGAAAGTTAACTGCTTTGCAGATGTTTGTGTTTCAGATAACTTGAATTCCATTTTTAAGGTTGGAGTTAATTCTGGGGAGGTCTTTTATGCAGATTTTAGGATTTTAGGAGGTGGAGATAGTGATGATAGTGGTAACAGCAGTGACATATGGGTCTGTCTTGGGGATGGTAGGAAGATTGTTAATGGGAAGAAGGAGGGTTCTGGATGCAAGATAGAGAGTCATGGGAATCAGGTGTTTTGTAGCAAAGGAGGGGATATTGAATTGTGGTCAGAGGTTGTGATGGGCTCACATAGGACTAGTGGGAACAGATTAGATGAGAGAGTGTTTAGGAAGAACACAATGGGCAGAGTCAAGGATATGGTGGGTTTGAAGATAACCAACTTGGCCTTTGGGGGAAACAGGATGTTCCTTACGCGAAAGGATCAGCAAGCCGTGGAGGTATGGCAGGGTGCAGTACGGGGAATTTGATCTTCAAAGGTTTAGTCTAATGTGGTGATTAATTCAACCACAAGTCTGCAGCTCACTATTTTCTTTTGTAAATTGGTGTTTCAATTGATACTTGTGTGAAATTGGAATATTGTATTTTATTAAATCTGAAAAATGTATTTTCTTATAGTTCCATAGCTGTTCCATAACAATTTTGAATCATCACTGAAACAGTGACAGATTTATCAGGTATTCCGTGGTTTTTTCATATGATGCAGCATTATTTATTCTACATCCCCATATCTTTATATTCTTGCGTCTATTCTACTTTGCCCCTCGATTGGACTCCATATAACTTTTGTCTCAAAATCCTTTTTTATGTCAACTTCACGTATTGATCATGTGTTTAGTGCCTCATTTTACTCATATTAAGGCAAAGAAGCATGGTGTTTAGGTCTTCTTCGACTTGCCTACTTTTCTGAACATTTTCTGTTTGTGACTTCTACTGTATCATTCCTGGCAGTGGTGTTTTTCTTTCGTAGTTTTAAGGGAAGAACCTTAAAATCTAAACTTACTCAAGTTTAGGACAGTCTTCTTTAATTTAATTCCAGCTTCATTTTGAGATTCTTCACTCATGTTTAGGCAGGTTTAGGGTATTATTTCAAAAAGAGACTGCTGTTAAGAAGTGAGCAGAAAGTTGTTATTATCATCATATACAGCTTAATTCAACTTTTAGTCTATTAATTATCACTTTGATTTCATTTCAGTCTAGAAATTATGTTTTATTTCTAAGTAGTCTATTAACTTTCAGATTCATTTCAATTTCATCTACTTCGTCAAAGATAACGAAAACTTCCTATTCTGTTTGAGAACAATTAGTCCTCTAATTATATTTTTTTAATCTTTTAGTCCTCAAGTTTATATTTGTTATAAAAATAGCTTTTATACTTAAAATTATTATTTTTAGGCTCTGATACTAGATTTTTATATTTAAAATTATTATTTTTAAATGATTTATTAACTTTCAGGCTTTGATACCAAATTAAAAAAATAGGAAAACCCATATAAAAATCTGGTATCAGAGCCTATAAATAATAATTTTAAGTAAAAAAGTTAATTTTATAATAAATATAAATTTAAAGACTAAAAGATCAAAAAAACATAGTCAAGGACTAACTGTTCTCTAATAGAATAAAAAATTTTCTGCTATCTTTGACCAAGTAGACGAAATTGAAATGAATCTGAAAGTTAATAGACCACTTAGAAATAAAACATAATTTCTAGATTAAAATGAAATCAAGGTGATAGTTAATATACTAAAAATTAAATTAAGCCCATCATATACTGTCAATTTAGTTGGTGGACAATCCTCCAGCTATCCAACAGGAAATGAAGATCCTAGTTGTAATTACATGATGAGGTCCTTATACGGTTTTCTTCATCAATTCTGGAGTAGCTTTCTAGGTTTTTGATACGAAGATTGTGACAAATTTTGCTCTTGAATTTTGATGAGAACCTTCTTAGGCTGTTTCTTTTCCAATTATTTATTGTAAATTGTTTGAACAGAAAAATAATTGAAACTTATGTCTACTCCATGTCACTCATCTTTGCTTGAAGTCAGCCTTTCTTTCCATTTCGCGGAGGGTCCTCAACCTACACAGGTTCTTAGCAGGTCAGCTCTTAAATTCGATAGCTTGTGGGTACTGGTGACCAGTCTAAAGATGTTTAAGCAGCCTTTGATCAAAAGTCATGACATTAATGAAAAAGGTCTATCGACCTAGTGGTCTAATAGTTTAATATAAATTTTTTTAATTACGATAAAAATAAGAATTCAATTTTATCCCCATCTTCCTCCCTCGAATCACTTACCCTAATAAAAAAAAAAAAAAAAGGTCATGACATTAATTGGAAGCATGAAATTTTAGTTGGGTGTCTAAATTAGATGGTAAGATATAAATTGGCTCAGTTCCTATCATATTAAACGATGAACAGGAAATTATGATATGAGCCAATCTCATAATGAGTTAACTAAGATGAACTTAAGCCTAACGTCAAAACCTGTGCCGTAGGGTAGTGATATATTGTGGTTCAATACTTCAATTTCATTTAATCATAAAAATATCCGTGTTACGGATAGGGATGGGCATTTTTTAGTATTAGTAGGGTATAAGTTACATTTGATATTTAATTTTAAAAAATTTTTATGTGGTTTTTGTCATCTATCATTTACCAAAATATTTCAAGATTTATACGTAGTAATTAACTTAACAAGTATCAGGTAACTTGCGGATATATGTATATATATTTATGTACTTTGTTGAATAATATTTTGCTTTAAATTTTTTTTCAAATTAAAATTTAATAAAATATTATTTATTTTTAATTTAAACTTAAATAAAACTAGTAAAAATTTAATAAAATATTATTTATTACAATTTAAACTTAGATATAATCCAAAATAACAATAGATAATTTAAATTTGATGATTTCATATATTTAGAATGAAAAATATGCACTTAAAAAATAAAGAATGAAAATAAATTAAATGATAAAATGAAAGTCCTTTAAAGAAGATATTCAGGTTTGTAGATGCATAATCCCTCTAATCCTCTGCTTTAGTATGTTAAAAAGAGATAATGATTGATAATATTATATTTATTTTAACATTATGATGTCTATACTTTTAACTTACTATTCTTATTTTATATATATACAATAAACAAAGATTATGACTCGAAAATTATTAATAGAAAAGCATAGAGAAAGTTGAAAAAAATCGAAGTTTGAAGTTACATACACTCATCATTATCTAAAAGTGTAAGAAAGGAAAAATGTTCTTAGCTGCATGTGTGATATGTGTTTGGTTTAGAGTTTGTTATTTAAAGGTTGTCGTTGTGATTTCTTTTATTTTTATTTTTGTTTTTTATTTTTTTGTATTTTTAAAAATTATTATTATATAAATATTAAGTATAATAAATTTATATAAAATTTCAATTATATAAGTATAAGTCACATGTCAATTAAACAATTTGGATAAATAATTCTAAATTTTTATACTTAATACTTAACTTAATACTTATAGATATACAACTTTTATACTTATTACTTACCCAATTTTTTTATAATTTAAGTAAGATATTTACTTTAACAGATAAAATGCTTATAAATAATAGATGCACCCATACCCAATGCTCACTCCTAGTCATGGAATGAGAGATATTGAAAAGCTCACCTAGGAACAATCCTTAATTCAATCTTCACCATCAAGGTTGGCATTGACAGCCTCAATCCCGCCTTTTCTTGCCAATCTGGGGCCGAAATAGACAGAACTCATAGGAGAAGATGACCAAAACTTTTTTCTAAACTGGTCCTAGATAGTTGCCAAAGTCTCAACCATTAGGGATATGACATAGAGTGGGAGAGCCAGCAAAGGTTTCTTAGGAATGAGAAACCTAATAAATGCATCTCTTTCTTTCTCTAATCTTTTGTGTTCATCCATTAGAAAACAGTTGTGGTCTTCTAGTTCTAGTGCCATGAATTTTCTCTTGGGCTAAATAGGGGGCTATGCATCTCTTTCTTTCTTTTCAGTTTTACTTTCTTTTTTTTTTTTCCCCTCAACATTATGTTCTTTTCATTTGGATCAACTAACTTTTCATCTCTAAAGTTTTCTGTCACTCTATACCAATAAAATACAGCCTTAATGCTCAAATAAGAAAGCTGTTTACCAGAAAGAAATTTGTTTAGTGGTCTGATTCTATATATATATATACACACACACTCACTCACTCACCCCTTTTAATGATGAAGCATCATAAACATAAATCTTTTTGTGTTAATGCTCTAAGTACTTAAACGAAACGATTTTTCCATCATTGAAGTAAAGACATGGAAAAATGACTAGGCATACACCTCTCAAGACTCTCAAAAGCAAAAGCCCTTGTACATATACACCTTTATCCCAAAGTAGTAGCCAACTATGGTAATGGGCATCTTGACGGATACCGTTGCATATATAGATAGTAGCTGCACCAAACTCATTCAATCGCCTACATCTTCATTGAATGCACTTCCCTTAGAAATTAGGTGAGAATTTCTTCCTAGGAATAATGAAAAGACTACTTGTGGATTGAAGAGAGCCTTGAGACTGGAGGACAGCCTATACTACAACTCTTCTGTTTTTGATGCGTGTCCGTGGGAACCCATCTATTGCAATCGGCTTTGTTGGTTTACATTAATGAAATATGGGTTGGCCGTTAATCTGTCTTTATGATCTCCCCAACAGATCATGTGGGCATTAATTCCTCTGTTTTTATGGCTAAAACCAACTTTTAATCTTTTACAGAATTGATAGGTTTTAGTGTTTAACTTTATAATATGATATTTTTAATCCTTTACTTTATAAAATTGATAAGTTTTAACCCCTCATCTTATAAAATTGATAAATTTTAGTCTCTCACCCGATATTATAACATTTTTTGTCCCTTATCTGTACGAATTGAAGAAAATAGCTATCACTTAACATCATGTTATAATGTTTTGTTAGTTCTATTAGTTGATTGTAAATTCTGTTAACTGATTATTAACATTCGTTAGCATTTCATTAACGGAACTAACAAATAAAATTAAATTTACATTTAATGTTTTTTATAATGGAATGCTAACGGATGTTAACAGTCAGTTAATAGAACTAATAAAACGTTATAACCTGATGTTAGGTGAGGATTATTTTCTTTAATTTGTATAAGTTATGGGCTAAAAATGTCATAATTAATATAAGATGGAAGATTGAAACCTACCAACTTTGTAAAGTAAGAGACTAAAACCTACAACTTTGTAAGGTGAGAGGCTAAAACCTACCAACTTTATAAGATAAAAAGCTAAAAATATTATATTATAAGTTGAGAAATAAAAACTTATCAACTTTATAACGTTAAAGCTAAATGTTGATTTTTACCTGTTTTTATGAGCTGGTTTATATGCCCATGCAGGCATTAATCATCAAGAAAATTTTCAATAGGTTCCACAAAAAACAAAAAACAAAAAAACGAAATTTGTCTATAGGCCTTGCTGCCTTATTATTATTATTATTATTTTTTACATTGAAACTATTTACATATAAATTTTACATATTATATTTATATAAAATTTTAATTATTTATTATTTTAGTTTTTAATAATTAAAATTTATTCAAATTTTTTTACTACTAAAAATAAAAAAAAAATAAATTATCAATATTTTCTATAAATATTATATATAAAAAACTTATATATAAATGACCTTCTACTTATGCATTCCCACTTGTGTATAAGACTTCGTCTCGTCCCTTTCTTCACACCACAGACTTCTTTCCTCCCTACAAATTCTTCGCAAACTTCCGCAATCTCCCTAGCTTGAATGCTACACTGCTCTGTTTCAAGTGATAATCTTCTGTTGGGTTGCCATAGGCTTCCCTGTGATTTCTTCCATGTTTGATATAGGTGGTGGGGTTGCGGCAGCTCACATGGAAACTTCGACGGCTTTAATCATCTTATCAGCCATTGCAGCTTATGTTGTCTGGTTCAGATTCATCAAGAGATCGTTATGTGGCCCACGTGTCTGGCCACTAGTGGGCAGTCTTCCAGGCCTCATCAAGAACTCCAGTCGGATGCATGATTGGATTGCAGACAATCTCCGCTCCTGCGGCGGTACTTACCAGACATGTGTCTGCGCCGTCCCTTTTCTTGTCCGGAAACAAGGTCTCGTTACTGTCACATGTGATCCAAGAAACTTGGAGCACATCCTGAAGGTCCGGTTCGAAAATTACCCCAAGGGACCAAATTGGCAAGCCGTCTTCCATGATTTGCTCGGTAATGGGATCTTCAATTCTGATGGTGATACGTGGTTGTTCCAGCGTAAGACCGCTGCATTGGAGTTCACCACCCGGACTCTCCGTCAAGCCATGGCTCGGTGGGTTAGTCGAGCCATTAAGCAAAGGTTCTGCCCGATTCTTGATGCTGCTCAAAGTGGATCCAAGTCTGTTGATCTCCAAGATCTATTGCTTAGGTTGACATTTGATAATATATGTGGCTTGGCCTTTGGTAAGGACCCCGAAACGCTGTCGCCGGTGCTGCCGGAGAATGGTTTCGCCGCTGCTTTTGACCGAGCCACGGAGGCCTCCCTCCACCGCATGATTTTTCCGGAGGTTATATGGAAGTTGAAGAAATGGCTTCGGCTGGGGATGGAAGGCACGTTGAGCCGTAGCCTTGAACACATAGACGAATATTTGTCCGAAATCATTAGGACACGTAAGCTTGAGCTGGTCAGCAAAGAGCAGGGAGGGACCCCACATGATGACTTGCTCTCTCGTTTCATGAGGAAGAAGGGATCCTACTCAGACGAGTTCCTCAAACACGTGGCACTCAACTTCATCCTAGCTGGTCGAGACACGTCATCAGTCGCGCTGAGCTGGTTCTTCTGGTTGGTCAGTCAAAACCCGAGAGTTGAAGAGAAAATCGTGTCAGAAATCTGTACCGTTCTCATGGAGACACGTGGCAGTGAGGTTTCCAAGTGGGTCGAAGAACCATTGGTCTTCGAAGAGGTTGATCGGTTGATATACCTCAAGGCGGCACTGTCGGAGACACTCCGGCTCTACCCATCGGTGCCGGAAGACTCCAAGCATGTAGTTTCCGACGATGTCCTTCCCAGCGGCACTGTCGTTCCGGCAGGGTCTAATGTCACCTACTCAATCTATTCGGTGGGGCGGATGAAGTTTCTTTGGGGCGACGATTGCCTGGAGTTCAAGCCGGAAAGATGGTTATCCGAACAAGGCAAGACATTTGAGGTTAAAGACTTGTACAGATTTGTGGCATTCAATGCTGGCCCTAGGACTTGCTTGGGGAAGGATTTGGCTTACTTGCAGATGAAATCGATAGCTGCGGCGGTGCTGCTCCGTCACCGGCTCACGGTTGTTCCAGGCCACCGCGTGGAGCAGAAAATGTCATTGACTCTTTTCATGAAATATGGGCTCCTGATGAATGTTCAGCCGAGGGACCTGATGCCTGTGCTGATGAAGATAAGCCAAAGTGGACTTCAACATGGAGATAATGGATCCTGGGGTAAGCATTCTGAGGAGCCTGAAATGGTGGCTGCGGCGTCCTAAGGAGCCTCTGCTTTTCATGGTAAAGTTTTTCTGGGTCTCTGCTAAAAGCCGTATACGAACCAAGATCTTAAAGGTATTTAGTAACATGTACTATTTTTTTTTAGCACAGTAGTAAAATGGTACAGAGAAAGAACACAGCACAACTCTAAAATTGATTAATTTGGAGTTGTGTGGAATCTCATATATACCATTTAACTCATATAGGATGATTATGGGACGATAGTAACATGTACTATTTGGTGTGAGCAAAATACTTAAAGCCACTTCTGAGCGATTTGAGTTACATTTTTTTTCTTAAATTATATATCAAATTGGCCAAATTTATTGGATATGGAGCTTGTTCTTTCTTCATATTATGATTGAAAGTGGTACACTGACTCTACAGGCCAAGATGATTCAAGCAAGGAATGAACAAAGTTAGGAACTTTGATTAGTTCTGATTTATAGGGAGAAAAGTTATGGATATTGCTTTTAGTTCTGGTTAAATTTGTGAAATTATTATTGCATAGGATTATCAGGTAAAGGGGTTGCTATGAATATCTTTATAATTGTCATTTGGGCCTGTTGTTTTCACTATTCATTATGATTGTTAGTTGTAGTTGCCTCACATGACTGCAATTTAGGTGAGGAACTGAGACATCTAATAATATATGTAGATTGATTTATTTTGGAATACAAGTTTTAAGTCCTTTTGCTGGTATGTACTCATTCTAAATCCCTTTTTCTGGTATGATTGTTAATTGTAGTTGCCCCACATGCCTGCAATTTAGGTGAGGAACTGAGACATCTAATAATATATGTAGATCGATTTATTTTGGAATACACGTTTTAAGTCCTTTTGCTGGTATGCACTCATTCTAAATCCCTTTTTCTGGTATGATTGTTAAGTGTAGTTGCCCCACATGCCTGCAATTTAGGTGAGGAAATTAATTGAAAACTCCTTGTATACTCAATTTTCCTGCATCAAAAGGCCTCAGGCCCTCTCAAAGTCCTAAACCTGCTTTGAAGAATGAGATTATCATCCCAAGTCTTGCCATTTGTCAAGAAGGCATACCATGGTAAATAATTGACTCTGTAAAAACCATATCTGGAATTTTCTACCAATTAACATTCCTCTGTACTTACCAAAACTTGCAATTACTTTGCTTAATTAGGAAATGAAGAAATCCAAACGGCATAAATGGCCAGTAAATCAATACTTGTAGCCAGAATTCACATATATTTAGGGTTAGGGGAACAATTCCATCCATGGCATCTAGAGTAGTTAGTGGTCTTTATCAGGACTCAAGTTTGATGTTGACCCTATTTCTTGTTATTTTTCTCTATACTTTTCTTTACTTCCTTTCATGCATGGGAAGGGAAACAGAATTTTGAAGATCTAGATTTGGATAGATAGCTTAGGATCTGGAACAAGCCCTATGTCAAGAGCATTTAGTTATTTGCTCTCTTTGGGTACAAAACAAGTTACAAGAGAAGTACCTTATCAAAGAACCAATGAATTAGTCTGATTAAAAAAAAAAAAAAAGAGAGAAATTTTATCTTTTTCAGGCAGGAGAAGGCGATACTTATGACTGTGTTAAGATCTATGAACAACGTGTCTTTGATCATCCTCTGCTTAAAAACCACAAAATCCAGGTAAATATAACTACTTTGTGTTATATGGTTCTCTTTTAAGATTGCCTCTATTTTCTTCTAAG